GTGTGTGTGTAACCCTTGGAATCATAGGGATCCTTCGGATTGTTTTGAGCTTTTAGCAGGGGGGCTGGTTGTTCATGCAAGTACCAGCCCAACGAAGAGGCTTGCATTGAACACTGATATCGGTGGGGACGCTCACCGACGTACCTGCTTTTCCTTTTTCCGAATGGCATGAGGCTAAGCCCAGAACCTCAATAACTGCAGACAGTTCACTTTCCGCAGATGTGCACGAGCCGCCGTCAACCTGTCCGACTCGCGATCGCCGTTCCTTCCTTTTCCTTTTGGCCATCTCTCCGTTTGAAGACCCCCAGGTTTCGCTGGTTTCCTACTGGTACTCTTAGGAAATGGAACCCTAGGCCGGCGTGTGGCACCGCATTCACATCAGTACGCATATCCATGAGTGTGTGTTTGTGTGTGCTCTGAGCTGTGAAGGACCCAGAACTGGAACCAATGGTCCGGAGGGTGAACAACATGAAAAAGCTCTCCATGACAATGCAAAGCTTCAGTCATGCGCTTGGTGTTTTGAACTCTAGCTAGCAGACTTTGCAGACTTGTAGGCAGTCAGATGATGATTACCCAAGCAACCAAGACCGCTATCGCACGGTTTGTGTGCCGTGTCCAGAGGAGAAGCTGTTCGCGTTGAACACACGTGACACCTCCTAGGTCCGCGCGCAGCGGAATGGGAAGTTGCCCGGAGCAATCCTCCAGAGGCAGCGAAGCGGGACATGGTGCACAATGCGAATCTTGGCAACCCCTTCTTTTCTGAACAAGAGTATACAAGCCCTCTTTGACTTAAAGACTCAGGGTGCCGTCTTGGGCTGAGCTGCAGAAACAAACTATTTTTGTCCTTTTGAAAGACACTCACTAGTGATACAACCCCACCTGACCCAACTGCTTCAGCGACACTATGAAGCTCTCTCTCTCTCTCTCATGTTTGTCAGGTCCAGGACTGGATCTACAAGACCCTAGCCTCTGCTCCACGGCGAGAGCCGGCCAAGTCCTGAGCTGATTTGGAGGGCTGAATGGGCGTGGAGTCTTAGTTTCAGGTGATTTGCTGTTTTCGTGCTCCCTTGCATAGCCATGGGCCCAAAAACAAACAAGGCCTTGGATGCCTCTCAGCACAAGAATGCCAGAACATGCCAAGAGGAAAGAACATTAAGAAGGAGAGCTCTCAGCAAGATCAAAGACTTGAAGCTTTAGGTCCTTTAGGTCAGCCATGCCGCCTGCACCTGCCCGCTTCGTCAACCCCATCCCCAACCCAGCCCGGTATCAGAAGTACAACAGTGTCACCTTGGAGTCCTTGTGCGAGGCATCTTACCATGGCCACATCGAGAAACTGGAGGTGTTACTGAAAAGTGGTGATGCAGACCAGATCTTCAATGGTGATGTGAACTTGCACCTCACTGAAGTGAACGCACTGCACATGGCGGCTATGGCCGGCCAGGAAGCAGCCGTCAAGTTGTTGCTGGAAGCCAAGGCCGATCCCCATGTTCGTTGCGTCGTGCCTGAAGGCAAGGATCCCAAGAGTGGCGAGACGGCGCGAGAGAAGGCTGCAAAGTTTAAGCACCAGAGCATTGTCAGCTTATTGAAATCAGCTGAGGAGAAGACTCCACCTGGCTGGTATCAAGCTGATGGGATCGGGAACAATCGGAAGCTCTATTCTGAACCCAAGCCGGTGGCGACACCGAAGCCTGAAGCACAGGCGGAGAAAGCACAGAAGGAGGCACCCAAGGCAAAGGAGACACCAAAGGCGAAAGAAGCACCAAAGACAGCAAAGGAGGAATCCTTGCCAGTTGCACTTCTCTTCCCTGGTCAAGGCTCCCAGTATGTCAAAATGCTTGATGGTGTGAAAGATGTGCCTGAGGTAAAGGAAATGCTTTCAAAAGCCAAGACAATCTTGGGCTATGACCTCTTGGAGATGTGTTTGAAAGGACCTGAAGACAAATTGGCCGAGACCCAGTACTGCCAACCGGCTATGTTTGTGGGAGGTTTGGCTGGGATTTCCAAGCTCAAGTCCTCGAACGCGGCAGCCGCCAGCCAGCCTCGTTGTATGGCTGGCCTGTCCTTGGGCGAGTACACGGCTCTGTGTGCGGCTGGAGTTCTGACCTTCGAGGACGGGCTCCGACTCGTGAAGCTTCGAGGGGAGGCCATGCAGGAAGCTGCCCAGGTGGGAAAGCAGGCCATGCTCTCCGTGGCGGGTTTGGACCAAGCAGTTTTGGAGCAATGCTGCTCGGATGCTGAGAAGAAAGCGGGTGCTGGTAGTGTGTGCCGCATTGCAAATGCACTCTTCCCCAAGGGCTTCTCGTGTGCTGGGACGGAGCAGGCAGTGAACGAGTTGAAAACCTTGGCCGAAAAGAAAGGAGCGTTGCAAGCAAAGATGCTCAAGACTGGTGGGGCGTTCCATACATCATTGATGCAGCCTGCCCAAGAGAAGTTGGAAAAAGCACTGCTCGAGGCCTTTCCAAAGATGAGTCCTCCAAGCTGTGATGTTTACATGAACGTGACAGGTGACCGCCTAGCAGCCGGCACTGACCCGAAGATCATCCTGGAATTGCTCCAAAGACAGCTGACCTCACCAGTTCTTTGGGCTACTTTGGTCCAGAAGATGATCAAGGATGGCATCACCGACTTCTATGAATGTGGACCCCAGAAGCAGTTGAAAGCCATGATGAAGCGGATTGACAACAAGGTCTGGAACAAGACCCAGAGCATGGAAGTTTGAATTGTTGAAGTTGTTTGCGGGCTCTTTCCAGGCCTCTAGGCCAAAGGCCTCATTCTGTGAAAGTAGTTTAGGAGAGAACAGCAGGCTATTATTCCCAGCCCGCATTCATTTTTCCCACAGCCACGATTTGAGCGGGTGGCTGCTGCAAAAGGATCTCACTGAAAGCCGGGCAACATACGGTAACGGTAACGTAGTTTGCTTAGCGGCACCTTGCAAGAACAAGCTGAAGAACTAGAATCTGCCGTATTTTCAACTTGGCTATTTTTGGGAACTCAGCAAAAGGCCAGCAACAAAGAAGTTATATGCTTTGCGCTGATCCGACCCCAAAGAAACACAGATCAATGCGCAATGCTTCCCGAGGAGATCAAGATGGCCCCCCCGTGCTTGGCTCAGTATGGATCTGGCCTGCAATATGATGGTTATGAGTTATAGGTCAAATGATATGCGGGAAAATCCCCAAGTTTACCTGCCAAGCCAGGCAGCGACCCCGGCCAAGAAAATCACGGCGACGGAGAAGTAGTCAACAGGATAGGGACAAGGCCCTGCTATCAGTTGCAACTTCCACAGACCGTTTTAGGCAAACGATAGCCACGCTCAAACGCATAATCCGCACATTGGGTGTTGGAAGTCATGACCATTCATTCCCCCTCACTAATGATCGGTCAGAATGCATTCTTTAAACAACAACGCTGTGATGGATGATTTTGTGAACAATGCCAACACCGAAGTGCGAATCGCTGAATGCTCGGTTGAGGCCTTAGTGACGCAGTTGACGGAAGACGCAGGCTATTTGACAGTTTCCGTTCCATTGTGTGGTGCATGATTTGAAGTCTGAAGTAGCAAACACCTGGAGGCTTCCTTGGTGAGGACTGCTTATTCTTTGGTGTCTAAGAGCTTTGTTGAGCTTGACCATTTTCACCCCTTCGACGACCTCAAAGCGTGAACGCACCTGAAAGGACTGGGGCGAACTCTCGGACTCAGCGGTGTTTCTCCAAATGATCAAGACAGGCCAAGATCGAGTCTGAGTCGTTTGATCCCAGGGAGTGGTGAAGATTCCGAGTCGTTTGTGACAGCTGGGTGATGTTGGCTGCGGCTAGGAGACCTGTTGGAGAATCGCTTGTATGTGCACCAGCATGAAATCTAGAATCTAGAGCAAACGCAAGTTGTCATGTTTGTGGGGAGGGCCAAAGTGTTGCAGCATGTGCAGTTCTCTGCCACCAAAGTGAATTTTTGTGGCGAATAACCTGGAGAAATCACACCTGCAAAATCTAGAACTGGTTGGAGAGCATGGCAACTTGCACCGTTTGGTGAAGAAATGAGCTGGCACAACCTGGGCAGTTATGATTCCTTATGATTCCTCCATGCCTGGAGTTGAAGCGGCGGACATGCGAAGCCCATGAAATCCTGCAAGGCATGATCCTGTCGGACGAGAACGCGCAGCTCTCGGAAGAATTTGTGTTGTTCTGGTTGCAAGAGCGTGCTTGTTGCAAGAAGCTTCCTTGTGATCCTTGTGGGTAATTCCCACTGAAACCTGGCAGAAAACCCTTGAGTTTACCCTTGTGCAAGCGTATAGTTAGTAATAAGTTATTTATTTAGTAGACTCAGTAGGTACTTCGGAAAGGAAAGGAAAGGAAGGGAGTCCTGTCCCAAAAGCATCCCAAAGGCGGTTGTTGCAAGACATATCGAAGGGCTGCTGGAAGATGACCTTGGCGCACCCAGGTGCAGAGCATTCAGCGAATCTTCCAGCAGTTCTGCGACGAGCACCACGTCATTCCCAAGGCCTGGAGAGATCAGCAAATCCTCATTTGGCACAGCCGACCTTTCGTGGGCAACTGGGCTTCAGGATTTAGTTCCCCAAGCCTTGGAGGCATTTGGCACTGGCCTCAAGTTGACACTTTATCAGGTATTCCGGTTGGGATTGGGAGATTGAGGCATTCTGGATGCCGACAGGAGTGTGCTGGCACGCATCACCAACGAGGCTGAGAAAGCTGGAGTTTGAGAGCCCTTAAGGTGCCGCTTTTCCCGCAGGTGTCGCCTTACTCCCAAGTGGATTTGACAGACTTCAGGGACATCATTGAGCTGCTTGCCTCAGTATGGTTCTAACCTGCATAACCACCTCCATGTTAAACACCTCCGGTAATTGGCCAAATCATCTCAAATCATGCAAGGAAATGGATGTCCAAAGAGCCAATAGCTCAGTGGAGCCTGGTGGGTTTGACGGCTCTGGAGGCATTTTGGTGCATTTCTTTCCCCTTTGCAGGCACGAGTTCATGGAGGAGACCTTCAAGTCCATGGACAAGGATAGTGGTGGCAGTGGAAGGCTTTCGTCACACGAACTCTTCCCGTACTTAGTTCGGCCCTCAGACTCATGAAAGGAACCGCCAGGTCTAAGAACCTGCAGTCACAGCAAGGTGGGTCTGAAGGGCACATGAAGCCTAAGCTGTAGGCTGCCGTTGGCATCGTTCCCGTGCAAAGTCGAATCAAAGAGGCCTCCATGCCATGCCATTCGTGCATCGTTTGCTTCTTCTTGCTTTTCATGATGAATAATGATGATAAGGTATCACATACTACCTGGGCCGTCCCAAATGCGAGTCGTAATTGCTTGAAAGCCGTCAGGTAGTGGAGCTGGTGGATCCCAATGACACAGGTGCGGCTCAATGCGTAAGATCAATCACAACTGTCGAGGAGTCGAGGAGCTGAATATCATGCCAGCTTGATTCCCTGAGTTCCCTGTACTGACTGCAGTTAGATGTTCGAATCTTGAATGCGGCACAGGTTCCTTGAACTTTCAGCAGATGGTGCTGAACCAAGATAATTCAACTTAGTTATACATTATAACTACAAGATACTATAAGTATGATTTAGAGTTCGTCCATGTGCTCATCCCACTTTCAGTGTTCGCCGTCCCTGATCCTTGGAGCTCCCAGCATGTACGTTGAACTGACAGCATGAACGTTGCAATTTCAAAAAGGTTTAGCATTGGTTTCGGTGCGTTCAGATCTCTCATGACATGGTCACAGCGATCCATTCGTGAAAGAGGAGCTTGGGAAGCAAAAAGCTCACTAGTCCCAAGTCAGCAGAGCCATGAGTAGATGATCAGTAGATATGATGTCAGGAGTACTGGTAGATGCTTCGGGGCACAACTGCAATGCGCCTTAAACGATGGAGCTGCCTGGCAGCGATGCTGGTGGCATTGCCTTTTAGATCAGACCCTCGACAGCTCTTTTGCTTGGTGTGGGGGAGTTGGTCACTATTAGTAACAAGTGCATCGCTACTAGTAGCTTCGTTGTTACTAGTAGTAATGCGCTTGTTACTAGTAGCGATGCACTTTGTTACTACAGATTTTCTCTGCCTCACATGGCCATTCATGAACACCAAACGCCCGCTGGTTGGCTTCATGGGGGTCACCTTGGCGAGTTTGCAGGCATCCTTTGCCGTTTCACGGCGTTGGCTGCTGCTTGCTCCCGTAGGTGCACCCAAAGAGGATCACCTTTCGAACGGTTTGGAATTTGTGATCTCTTTGGCTTGCAGGTGCCTCTGCGCCAGCCTTTGCTCAAGCCACTGGGAGGCAAAAGCAAGCCCAATTCAATGCAGACATCCTCAAGAGCTGTGTTCTGGTCCTCGGTATGAAGGAGTCCCGCACTCAGTTCCGCAAAACTGCTGCCAACCATTTCGAGGATAGCATGGACCAGTGGCAGGACCTGGGAAGCCGAGGGCTAAAGTTCATTGACTTGCGGCCAGGCTTGGTGAGAGTTGAGTGAGTCGAGTCAATTTCATTGCGACTTTTGGCCGGTCCGTGTTGCAGGAAAGGGCGCCGAAGCAATGGAGGAGCACCAAAAGCAACCTTCGACCTTCGACTGCAGTTTTCAAGATCAAATTGGTGTCAATCATCAGACTTGTTTTGCCACATCAGGAGTCAACTGTGCGCATACAGTGGTCGGGGCGCTTGTACAGCAACTTGGCCAACAGATGGATGAACACATAGAACGCATGGATGCCATGGTGCATGACTCATGAAACTGTGCATTGTGAGGCAAGCAGGGCTGGACCTACGGTCGTTGCAACGAGCCAGAGTGTGAGTTACGCTTCAAGGCCACTGCGATCGCATTCTAAACAACACGGCCAAACCTGTGTGCCAGGTTGGTGATGGGACGACCATAGCTGGACTAGACGAAGGAATCCGTGGCATGCGAGAGGGTGGATATCGGCGTTTCCTCATACCACCCCAGATCGCGTACCAAGAAGGACCGCCCCACAGAGAGCAATCAGCAAGCAGTTGGTTTCAAAGTGCGAACGTAGAATCTACGAGAAATATCTGAACACTTCACAGTTCAGCCAGTGGGACCCCATCACAGAAAATTCAGCATATGGGGAGTTCTGGCTGGTTTTGCTGAGGGCAGGAGCTTCAACCTCTTCCAGAGAGGGATGACATGAAGAGGAGCGTTTCGATTGTGCCTCGCAGCCTCACAGCTTGAGTTGCTTTTTGTATCGTCTTTTTTCAGGAGGCTTTATTCCACGGTCTTCAACAAGATTCGGATCGCCAATGGCGAGGTGCACTTTATGGCAACCAGAACAAGGCCGTGGTCAACACGGTGTGATGCCAGGGTGCCACGCTGGGCACCATTGTGCTGGACGTGGTCCTCAAACGAGTGGCGTCGGCGTGACGAAAAAGAGACGCGAGAGGTACATGCACATACTAGTGCAACCCTGCCGCAGACATACAAGCGACAACCAGGTAACCACTGACTGTTGGCAACATATACCCCGTGCGAGTTCAGCATGGTGAAACGTTGTCGACGGAGGCACAGGAGCCTCAGCTTGACTTACTGTAAGTGAACTGGACACATGGATAAACAAGGTGTAACAAGGTCAGTTTGCGGTGTTGAAAGCGTTCCTCCGGCTTTTTACAGCATCGTTAGTTTGACACGTCTTCGTCGCGGCCCTGGTGACCTCCAAGCGCAATTTCTGCCTCCACCTCGACTGAGAGGTCCTGTAGGCAGGCAGCCAGGGGTTGTGACTGCTCTTTTGGCTGCCCTTCGTCCTTTTCTCATTTTTTGTTCAATCTTTTTCCTTTTATGTTTGTGTCATTTTGTGTCCACTGTGTCCTTCCCTTTCTTCCCTTTCCACGTTTACGGAGTTTGCAGAGTTTAGGGTGCAGAAACCGAGCTGTGACGCTTGACTCGCACTGGTGTCACTGGTCAGGCTCCATGGCACCCCTTGGATATCAACCAGGCAAGGCGATAATTCTTTCGATTCCTTGGACTCGTTTTCCGCTGAACCCTTTATCATTGATCGTATAGAATCGTATGATCTACCGTATGTACTGTATATGTAAGGTCATGTTCATGTCTATCTTCAGGGAAGCCAGTCGAACCCATGACTTCAAGGTTTGAGAAGTTTTTCGAATGCAGGAAGACTGATGGCTCACTTGGTGACCTCCTTCGTTGAGCCGGCCGCGGTCCTGGCATTGCTTCGTGGAGGTGTTTTATGGGCAGAGGAATCATAGAACAACACAAAGTGACCTTGCCTAACTGAGTCTGAGCCGTACCCCCCGAACAGTCATCTGGAATCTTTTGCTGCGCGAGTCTGTTTATGGTCCCACAGTTTACAAATGCTTGGCCATGCAGCCACTGAGGGAAAGGCTGAGGGGGCCGGCATGGCGATGAAGCCGGATCCAGTCGCAGACAGTTTGCCACTGGACATCCATGTGTCTTGACAGCATGAGGAGGTTTGATAAAAGAAACGAAAAGAAAACTTGTTAGTAGTAATAATGGCCTCCAACCTACTAGCGGACTAGCGATGGCCTCCAACCTAGTAGCTTCCTTGCTACTACTAGCTTCAGATTCACGTGCTGGCAGTGGAAGTCCAATTTTCTTCTCCTACAGCGAGACAGATAGAGCCACACTATGATTTGTTGCCCTATCTCGACTCGTGTTTGTGTTCATTTGGGTTGACCACCCCAATTCATCGTTGGCACTTGAGGTGATCATCAAGAAGGCCCGGCCAAGCTGCGCAATTTGAGGATCAACAAGTGGATTTTGAGCGGTGCCTGAGCTGCCTTTCCTCGTGCCTTGTGAAGGCATCAGGTGGAATCGGTGGGGTGCAAGTGACCAAGCCGTCAGCGGTTGGAGGTGATTTGGAGGGCTTTTTGCGTCTGACTGGAAGACTGATGTATGGAGTCGGTGGGATTTCCTGTAGGCCTGAATCCAGAAGTGGCAGCCGTCGCGGCTGGAGCGCCCAAGGCAGCCAAGGCAGCCATGTGCACACTGGCCCCCAGGCATGGATGGCACATGCAGATCGTGGAAGAGCACGGTGGTTGCGCTGCGCGTTGCGTGCGTACCGAGCAAGTTGCAGGTATGTTTTGCCGCAGCACGGAGGCCGGAGGGGCTTACCACGCAAGACCGACACATGTGGATGGCGGTTTGTCAATTTGCCAGGTAGAAGGCGGCCAAATGTATCGCTTGCTCAGTTCCTTTAAGTGCATGTGATTGTGACTCAATTCCGGTCGCCGCGGAAGCACCATCGGCGCTGATGATAATGCATTCCCGCGCTGGTCATCGCGGGGCAAGACCCACAATGGCTGACAAGCAGCAGTGGGTGTGAGAAAAAGGGGCCGATGCGGTCATTCGCGCATGTTCGAGAATTGTATAAATCATGCGTGTGCTCGATTTCAGTAAGTCTGGGCGCAAGGGTTGGAACTCCGGCTCAGGTGCAACTGGTTCTTTTGTACAGGCATGCAGGGATACCTTACTGTGGCTCACAGCTTTAGCATGTTTTGCCTTTTTCACGCTTCTATTTTCTCTCTCTCAGCTTGTTGAAGTTTTTTGACCCGCCAGGCACACCGAGGGATTCAGTCTGAAGGAGGTCAAAGCTTCGCCCTGAGTCCTTGCTCAATCATACCCATAGTTCTGTGGGAAGATTTGACACACGCCGTGATCCTCGTTGCGACACACGCCCCAAGGTCCTTCGGGGAATTTGTGCACGTGAGGCCTGGCATGCCACGCTTGCTTTGAGTCACACGTACCAGTGATGTCCGAATCCTTGGCTTTGGCACGGTTCTCGTTCACTTGCTTGGTAAGTAGTTAGAGTCAAAGTTTTGGGTATTCTTGTAAATGAGTGCACGCTCTTGTTTTTGTTTGGCAGCACTTGCACTGAACTGTGCTCTTCTGCCGGCTCCAGATGTGCGGAAGATGCATGTCGTATGGAAGGTGCAAACCAAGCCATTTTGCCAGAAACCGGTACTGGGTTGCACTAGGCCACCAGGCCCTATCACTAGGCATTGTGAATGGACCGTAGCAGAACATTTTGAGACAAAACAGAACTTTTAAATACAAAACTCCTTCAGCACGTGGCCAGTGCGACCAGGCAACTGCCTGAGTGTTCTTTGTGTGTGTCTGCGTGTGCGCTCTTCGAGCAGTTCCTTGCCACTGCTAGATATGTGGTCAGCTTCACCAAGGTGCTTTGCCACTTTCTTGTGGACGATGGAATTACATGTGCCTCGTCTCAACCATCACACGAATGTCACGCCAATGAGAGCAGTCCAAGGTGGTGGAGACCGAAGGGATCCCTGAGGGCTGTGTGCTATCGGTGCGAGCCGGTGCAACTCGAAGACAGGCTGGGAATAAACAAAGTTTCTTTGGCTTCCTAAGCATGAGGATGGCCATAGTCCCTCAGCAGGAAGCATCTACGGCCTACTATTGCTTAGGATGGAGGATTCCTTGTCTGAAATGTGACAGATGTTCGATGCTTTTGTTGTTCTTGTGTTGCAGGCTCCGGTCTCTTCTGACCGGCCCTTCCGTTTCAATTGTTCGCTAGAGGAAGCTTCCCCTTTCAAGGCGCAAAGCAAAGTTTTCAGACGGTTGAGGAAACAGATTGCTGTGAAGCGTTTTTCCAAACTTTTCCCTTCGTAGCTTCTGTTCTCAAACCACTCTGTCTAGTTTGGACAAAGCTTCAGGTGGACGTGCTCGAGCCAGTAGCCACCGCACGATTGATTCTTCGCCCAGGCCTGCGTGTTTTTGTTGTTGGTTCGTAGGTCGCTCGGCCTTTTGTTTTTCCTTCATTGGTTTGCTTGGATGTTGCAATTTAATCACATTTGTTGATGGGATTATGGTACGCTCGAGTGTTTGAAGCCTCCTCTTGACCAAGGTGAGGAACGACGTACAGAATGCCAGCAGCTTTATTGCATCTATTTAGAGGTTAGCTGAGGACCATAAGTTGCATGACAAGCCATGACAAGCCTCGGGAACACTATCCGCGTGGAAGGCAACAATTCACCCAGTGAATGTTCATCATCCGTTTTTCAGCATCGCCATGGCTGCTTATGCAGCGTCCAGGTATACCATCCCCTTGGAGCCATCCAACTCCTTCGAGGGCTCAGGGCCTTCAGGGCCTTCGCCTGGCACCTCCCCACCTGCAGGTGGGGGCAGTCCGTTCGAAGTGAGAGGAAGATGACCAGAAGATCTGAGGAAGCACGATAGAGAAGACGGTCTCAGAGAAGATACAGTAACAAGGGCATTACTACTACTAACAAGAAGAAACTAGTAGCTTCTTGTTACTAGCGATGGCCTTCACCTAGTAGCTTCTTGTTTGTTGTGACAAACATTTTTGTGCCACTGAACTCGGCCAGGCAGCAACGACATGTTTGTCACTATAGCCGTAAGCCCTAGTGACGAGCAGCAGGAAGAGGCGGCAATCACAGACACACTTGCTGTACATATTATAAACGGCTCAAGCGGAACAATCCTGATGCTTGTCCACTCTTTTTGGGGTGGGAACGTCATCACCAACACCTCACGCCTCCGTTTTTGTGAAATTTTGAAATCCATTACCTGTGACCAGTGTGACGCTACAGGAGGTGGCCCGCATGGAGGAAGAGAAAGGCTGGAATCAGTTGGCATGAGATGTTGTAGATGTTCCATAGGAGCTAACCAAACTGAGGGCTACTCCAAGACTTTTGCCTTCTAGTTCAGCTTGGCAGGTCCTTCCAATTCTCGCATCGGACAGGCGAGGATGTTGCTAACATGTGGCCCTCAGATGGCCGTGATCCCCAGGCCAACGCCGCGCGTGAGTACCTTGATAAGCACAATCTGGTGGAGTTCACTCAGCTCTTGGTTCAGAGTGCCACTTGGCCTCAAATTCAGCTTTCTTGGATCAAAAAGGCCCAAATTCACATCTTTGTGAAGAGTAACCTGAGCAACCTGAGGTCATCAAGGAGCAACCTGAGCGGCCTTACGAGTTCATGGCGCGACAGCCCTTCGGCTTATGTAATCATGTTGAGTCATTGACTGGCGGTTTAGCATGGGGGATTGGACAGATTTTCAGTATGTGGAGCAAGTTGAGGAAGCTTTTATGTTGTTATTGTCAATGTATCCTGTCATTTATTCGTGGTTTTTCAAGAAGCTGAGCCGAGGTTCTACTTTCCAGAGCCAGAGCCCCGGCCCAGGCCGCCGGCTGATCTGGATCCTCCAGGCCACTTGCAGTTGTCAAAACCATATCATGATTGTGAAACTCACATGTTGCACCAATATTCTACGAGCCTACAAATTGCCTGGCACACATGACAGAACATATCAGAAAATCATGGATTGAATGTAGGAGGAGCGATGTTTGGAGCTACCATGGCGACGATCGGCCACTACCACTACGAGGGATAAAGGAGCCCTGGTCGGCCTAGCAGGTGACGGTGACTGGAGTTCTGCCTGGTAGGACCTAGCTGTGGCTTTGTGATGCTTTGTGAGGCCAAAGGCCGGGTGCTACAAGCCAGTGCAGCTAGGGAAGTGGAACCCGGCTGATTTGCTTAAGAGTGCCTGGACACATTTGGACACCAAGAATCCGGCACTAGGCAATTTGGTATATAAATTTTGGTAAAACTACTTGAGATGGTTTTCAGGTCGAACTTGGTGGAGAGCAAGGAAGCTCCCGTTCGAACTTCCGGCACTCTTGCATCTTTGCATTCATTTTTGGAGTGTAGGCCACGAAGTGGCCTGAGACTAGTTTGTGCTAGCCGTAGCTTTCTTCCCGGCGTCAACTTTGGCTCCCTCCAATGCACAAGCCTCTTGCTACCCAACGGCCGTTTCACTTGAACTTATGTTCCCCTTTGCACCTCCTAGTAGCATCACTTTAACTTTTCAAGATTTTTCAAGAACGCTACTAGGGGCTCCTGGCCGTACTACTAGGAGCAAGGACGCTACTAGGGGCTCCTGGCATCGCTACTAGGAGCAAGGACGCTTCTCAAAAAGATTATCCTAGTGATCGGCTCACAGACTGCCCAGAGTTGCTTGCTGTCGGGAAAGTGCTGGAAATGATGGCCGTAGTGCCTCATCTCCTGGCTTATTTTCCGGACCCGTTTGGATTCTAGATATTCTATAGACATCTCACGTTAGTGAGAGGAATGAAGAGAAACATGTTTGCTGTGCGAATCAGGTGCGAAAAGGACTTCGTTTGGCCGTGGCTGTTTGATTCCCTGATTCCCTCTCCGCACGAGAGAATAGGTCCCTGGTTCAACTGAAGCTGACCGTGTAAATGAAGATTCCACCAGGCCGCTGGGCAACAACAAGCATCAGACTGAGCTCTGGAAGCCTTGCACCACTTTACTGTAAATGATGCACCTGGAAGAACGATGCTCGATGATCACATTTTGCACCGAGTTGCCACGGTTCAAGCTCAAAGACGTGCAGAGCTTAGAAGTGATTGGTTATTACATTTATACTATTTTATAGTAATGCATAGCAGCACAACTTTGCATACAGTATACATATATACATACATTATTTGACAATATACATTCATTCTGCCAAAGAAGATATGTACATGCTTGTTTCAACGCCTTTTCATCATGTCCCACCTCTGTCGCAGTGGCATCCTTTTGGCTTTGAGCGTATTGTCTTTTCGAAAGCTTGCGAGGTGCTGCTCCTCTTCTTTGGACTTCATAACCAGCACATCTCTGAGCAGCTCCACAGGGAGGCGCACACCTCGAGGCGCCTGTGGATCCGACGAAATTTGGTGTCCTTTCGACAGGCTGTGGCAGAATGTCGAGAGGCAAATGGGCAAGAATCTCAGGAGAACAGGTTCTTGGACCGTGTCCATAGACCAAAGCTGTGAATTCAAAGGCCCGTCAATGTTGAGATTTGGAACATGAAGCAGGACCTGCTATCTAATCCACCCATCCTGTGGCACATTGTTCTGACTTGTTGAGGCAAAGCCTCCTCTCTCTGCGGGAAGTCTTGCTTTGGTCGCGTTTGGCTTTCAGCTGTCTATTTGGCAAAGCTTACCGTAGAAGTTTTCGCCCCTCTCCAACTTTGGGTTTAAGTTCATCCCAGCTCCAAGGTCGTCAGCGCGAGATGGAATTCAAGGCCTCCAAGCTCTTTCGGCATCGTAAATCTATGTGCATTGGGTATGTGTCAAAGTGCAGCACCACTGGATCACACTACCGGATTTAATATATATATAATACATCCTGAACGCAATGATTGACTCCAGGTTACCTTTGAGACCCACTTTATTCAAGTCCTGCCAAGCATTCCAGGTCTTCCGGCAGAAGTTCAACTTGGTTGATCCTGGCGAAAATGGGCGCAGGGGGACCTTGAACTTGAACTTTGAAGTGATGAGCCCTCTCAGCCCGTTGAGCCCTTTGCTTCCGCGCACTTTCTTTGTGTGACACTGCGTGTGTGCGTGACTGCTCTCAGCCTCCTCCTCGGAGTGGGACACCCTGGTTAACCCCTGAAAATGATTCCTTTACAAGGATGTCAACCTACCATGTTTGGCGGGGGAGGTCTTCATGTGTTTAGCTGCTACGAACCCTTCGGAAGCACCAAATCAAGCAGCCGTCAAATGCACATTCTCCTGCTGAATCCCCAAGGAGTGGAGTTCACAGATCTCACCCGGCTTGTTGGACTGGGACCCAGCTTAGAATCTGAATGGATCTTCCGATATGTGACCTATGTGACCCACATGACTGACACTTGCAATGAACAGAAGAGTTCGAAACGCACGTGACGGTGATGATGCACCTCATGTGATGAGTCAAGGATCTCTTGGCGTCACGGTGAGCGAGGCCTGATCTTCCTCGGTCGATGGGCCTTCAAATTGTGACCCCTTAGCTCAGGCTACAGTCCAAGAGCTGGTGGTGGACAGCAAGGATGCCTACTTCGGCCTTGGCCGCAGGGACAGAATCGTTTTGATTCGTTTTCTGCAATGCGCAGAAGAAGGCCGTTCCAGTTTCATCAGAGTGAAGCTGGAAGGATGGTGCTTTAGACTTTGACGAATTTGTTCGAGACCGAGTCCGAAAGCAGAACTTTTGCAAGAGCCAAGAACGCTAGCCGCTGGCAGACACATTGAATGTGTTGAGGTCAACTTCATGTTGAAGCTGAGGGCTCGAGAGGGTTTCAGTGTTGCCAGGGGCCCAGAAGTCTATTGTAGTGGATCAACTGAGATGTCTTGGTGACTGCCAGGGAGAGCTCAAGCAATTTAAGCAAGTCTTTGACCGCTTCGATGACAATAACAACGGAGAGGCACTGGTACTAGTAGGGCTCGAGGTCTTGCTCTGTTTGGTGATGTGCAGCTTCTCTTTGAAGGTCGAAGTGCTCGAGCTTGCGGATATGTTCAGGCAGACCTGGTGGAATGGGATCGGGATTTGCATGGAGTGGGAATGTGAGTGGCAGCTCAAAATTCCTCAAGTTGTCCCAATCGTCACCAGAGTATGATGTACCTGCATCTCACACCTGTAGGAGGTTTTGGAAGGTGTTGCTCATGGTCATGACTAAGTCTTCACCTGTTGATCTCGGTCTGCGGCGGACCCGCACAAAGTGGCAAAGAACACTGCGGCCACACCCAAATAAATATCTAAGTCTCTCTCTCTCTCTATCTATATTTGCACACATCTACCCTACCCAAACACAACCCCAGGAACTAAGCTGATTGCCCTTCAGCCTGCAAGGTATTTAGGCCGCAGCGTGAAGCTTGATGAGCTACAAGTGATCATCAGCCAGGTGAGTAAAGCATTGCATCACCAAATAAAGCAAGCACCTGGGAATCTTCAGGTTGACTTCAATGGAAGCGGAGCCTTAGAATTCCAAGAATTCCTGAGGCTCATGCGTGGCACTCAGATGTACAAGTGCTGGAGAAGCCTTTGGTGCCGGCTGCAGTGCTGCAGCTAGGGTGTAAGCTTGATTGTTTGTTTCAGGCGGATCCATCGGGAAGAAGAAGTCAGCAAGATCCGGCAAGTCTACAACAAATTCTCAGCTGAAGGGCTGCGTCCTTGGTTTTGGAGAGTCACAAGGAGTTCTGGGGTTGGGGACTGACACATGAATCTGCTAAGGAGTCCCTCCTTATCCAAGGCGCGAGCCTGACGACCACCGGAGTGTTTGTTGGTGCCCTTCCCTGCATCAGGAGAGCCTATCAGCTGCAATGACAGCGCTGGGCTTCTCAGGTAGGGAAGTGTTCCTACCATAGTGTGAGAGTGTGCTTTTGCAGAGCCAGTTGTGTCATCAATCAATCATCAAGCACTTGTGCCTTCTCCCAGTTCTAGACAATCAGCACGGCTGTTGGCACTCTTCGCTTCGCTTCCGACTGCATTTGAAGCTCCTATACACGTACAATAGATTGCTTTACGATGGGCAGTGCTGCAAGATGCCTGACACAGTTCTTTGCATACCCTCTTGATCAGGACCCGGTAAGGGGACGTTTGACTCATTCGGTTCATGCGCGTTACATTTGTAACTTGATGCCAAGTTATCCACCCTGCTGGATCCTGCTGGGAAACATTGAGATTTCTCGAGGAGACTGCAGCAGTGACATGATCACCGGAGCTTTGGGAGCTTTGATCCTCCTTTTGGGCTGCATGGCAGCAAGCACGATGAATGGACAGTATTCCTGCACAGCTCACTAGGAAGTTGAAACCTTGCAAATGCTGCGGCTTGAGCTCCTTAGGCTGTTGGGCGCAGCATTTGGGGTGTGGCCCCAAGACTGTCCCCCATGGCATGCCATGGCCTCAACTCTTAAGCATGGCTCTCGGCCAAGGCATGAGGAGGCCAAGGCGAAATGGACCACACTGGGCGAATGGCTGGCACTCCGGGGCCAGGAGCTAATCAGCGAGAGAGGGAGAGAGGGAGAGGGAGAGCACGTTGAATCGGATTGATGTCCCAAAATCAATCTAAATCATTCATTTCGTTTCACTTAATTTTGCTTCATTCATTTACATCACAATCTTTCGTATTCATGGTTCAATGTCAGGTGGCTACCTCCACCGGGGCTTGGAGCCATCATTGGTATCACATGGAGGTCTTTCGATGATGGGTATCGTCTCCACTGTCCTCTTGCCTGAGGGAGCTGTCGCCATTGAACTTCCCCGCTTGGCTTTATTGGACTTGGAGCTGTTGGGTTCGATTCCCGAGGAGAACATTGGCTGTGCATGTCCAGCCTTCGTGGGAAAAACCGTGTCCACCGTTTTCCCCACAAATCCAGAGTCTTTGACTTTGACCCATGACGTAGCATATCACAACACATCACACGTTTCTTGAACACCAGGTGCTAATTCTGTACTCAGTTGACCTTTTACTTGCAGCCGGACTGGACTAAAAAGAGTCATTTGCAATTGTAATTATTGTAATTGTTTTGTCATCCACGGCATGAGGGTATTCTCACACATTCTCATTCGCACCTTGACTTGCCTTCATCCTGAGTACCTGGATTTGGCTTCATCTACACCGAGTTGTTCAATTTCGAGTGGCTTCCAGCGATCGATGAGAAACCTCAAGCTGCTGACGATCCTGGCACGGGAGAAGGCGAAAGGTGCCTAAGCGGAGCGGAAGTCAACCATGTGGCACAAATGAGGGGTTGATTCCTTTGATATCCTAATGTGATATCAACCTGGGTGGTTTTCGATGTGTTTCAGGTCCAGCCTCCGACTTCGCTTCATATTTGGAGTTATTGCCCTCGAAGGTCAACCTGGAGGAAAGTGACGTCTACTATGCAGGCCACACGTCCGCAGACCAGACGAACCACTGAACCCGTTTGGTCCCATTTCGACCGGGTCATGAATTGTGAAAGCTTCAGATCCCAGATGGTCCCAGTATTGGGAAGACAGATGCTTGAACAATCTTCTAAACTTACAAAGATGCCAAAGCCTGTGGCCTTAACATTCTGGGCTGTGTCGAGGTGAAGATCTTCTGAAAGACTTCAAGGTTCTTCCTGTGATAAATTTTTGGCGGCGTATTCAGGCTGAACACTACAAGGAGCTCGCCTCTTGACTGACCTTTTCAGCAATGAACGCCTCCTATCCAGGGGCATTTCAAGCTCTTCCCTGCTTAAGGAAAGCTGCTTCGAGGCTCTAAAGATGCAACGCCCCATGGAAACCGCGGGGGTGTTGTGGAAGGACATGAGTCACATGAGACTAGGTGCTGCTATCGCTCCCGGGAGTTTTGAAATTCACGAATAGCTACGGTAGATACCGTGTGGGCACTGGGGCTGTTTGAGCTAGGATGTTGAAGTGCTGCTTCGAACTCACCGGAGCCGAATCTTGTCTGCGCTTGTTGAGAAGATGGCGAAGATATGCGAAGATGGCCAGCAAGAAGCACATAGAAGCACACCACAGAAAGACCACTGACTGTTTTTTTTGCATGCAGAACTGAAGCTTTTTGTGAAGATCAGCGAGTCGTGGTTAGCTGCCCCTGCTGTGGTGTGAGGATATTTTGCTATCTCCCAGCCCAGCTTAGAATTTCTGGGTCCAGGTGCTGACTGGGTTCCTTCGATTGAATGGATGCCTTTGGATTGGAATGGCGGGATATGGGGGGGTGCATATTTTAGGCGAACTTGTTGTGGCTTCAGTGTTGTTCTTTGGCGGCCTGTGTGATGGGTGGTCCTGTGGCTTCTGGGGCAGTTTGCTTGTTCATTGAGGGCAGTCGCCATGGGGTGCCGCACCCTCCCCCCAAGTCTGCAGAATATCTCCGACTTACTACGATGACATTTGTTCCCCCCAGATAGCGAAGCTATGGTGTTCTTACTTCCAATAACAATGAGTTACCCGTGCGCGCTTTCGAAACAGGTTGCTGGTGCTGGGTGTCGGTGCTGGTGCTGGTGCTGGTGCTGTGAGCTGGCTGTGCACGTGGTGGAGACAGGTTGCTGGTGCCGGTGCTGGTGCTGGGTGCCGGGTGCCGGGTGCCGGTGCTGGTGCTGTGAGCTGGCTGTGCATGCGGTGGAGACAGGTTGCTGGTGCTGGTGCTGGGTGCCGGGCGCCGGTGCTGGTGCTGTGAGCTGGCTCTGCACGTGCACGTGGTGGAGACAGGTTGCTGGTGGAGACAGGTTGCTGGTGCCGGTGCTGGGTGCCGGGTGCCGGTGCTGGGGCTGGTGCTGTGAGCTGGCTGTGCACGTGCACGTGGTGGAGACAGGTTGCTGGCGCCGGGCGCCCGTGCTGGTGCTGGTGCTGCGTGCCGGTGCTGGTGCTGTGAGCCTCGGTGCTGGCTGTGTGCGTGGTGGAGAGGATTTTTCCCCCAGATAGCGACAGCTATGGGTTCTTATTCTTACACAAACAATGAGCTGGCTGTGCGCGCTTTTGAGACAAGGTGCCGGTGCCGGGTGCTGGTGCTCGTGCTGGGTGCTGCAAATCGACTTGTCAGTGAACGAGAAGCAAGTTTTGCAACGTGTTGCTCGCGGTGGAGGCACGGTGCCGGTGCTGGGTGCTGGCAGTGTGCGTGGTAGAGACAGCGGGCGCCGGTGCCGGTGCTGTGAGCTGGCAGTGCGCGCGGTGCCTGTCCACTTGGTGGAGACAGGGTGCCGGGTGCTGAGTGCCGGGTGCTGGGTGCCGGGTGGTGGTGGTGGGTATGCTGGTGCTGGGCGCTGGTGCTGGGCGCCGTGGTGCTGGTGTTGTGGTCCTGGGTGCTGGTGCTGTGGGCTGGCTGAGCGCGCGTTTAAGACGGGCGGGCACTGGCGCCGCTGCCGGTGTTGTCAGCTGGCAAAGCGCACCGGTGCTGGTGTGAGCTGATTGTGCGCGCTGTGGAGGTGCCGTAAGCAGGCTGCGTGCATTCTTGTTGCAGCCTGCGTAGCTATCTGGGTCTATGCTGGTGTAATCACGAAAGGTAGCGGTTACGCAACCTGAGTTTTCCTTTTGCTTGAGCAAAAATGTATTAACCCAGAGCTGCAGCCTATCTCTCGGAGAAATGGTCCCCGACATCTTCGTTTGCTGGCCGGGGGGGGGGGGCCCCCCCCCCCTTTCAACTCCACCCTAGCGCGCCTCGGGGTCAACCGTTCGAAAACACTGTAAATATCAGTGTTTTCAGCTCTTCCAGTCCTCAGCAGTGACCAAAAATCATGGAATTTACAGCGTTTTTGGTGGCTGTCCGGCAAAAAACACCGCAAAAACCGATGGTTTTTGATGCGTCTCGGTTAGAAAAATGACCGAAAAAAGACCAAAAACCAGGAAAGATTTTGTCAGAAAGGGTTTTTGAGGCTTTTGGAGGCTTCAAAATTGCACAAAACTATGGTATTTACAGGGTTTTGTGCACCTTCCCGGCAGAAAACGCCGGTATTTACACGGTTTTCTGCGCTTTTCCAGCGCTCAACCGTGGTGCGCCTTTGGATCGACGGCTACAAAATACCGTAAATACCAGTGTTTTCAGCTCCTCCTGTCTTCAAGCGTGGCCTTAGACCTTGCCGCGGCTGTGGATCGACGGCAACGAAACCTTGTAAATACCAGTGTTTTTGAGCACGTCCTGTTTGCAAGCATGGCCTGCGGCCACGCAATTTACAGGGTCGCCGCACGTCACTATGTAAATCCGAAGTTGCATTTGAGAAATATGTGACTCCTTTTGAAGGCACGTCAACCTGTATTGAAACCGCTAGACCGCTACAACTTCTGGAGGTTTTGTCAAGCGTTTGTGCACTAGTCTTTCTTTCATCACGCTCACTCACTTCTGTTCAAACAAGTGGGGGGCCTCTCACCTCCTCCCGGATTACGCCTGATTCCCTGCTACCTTTCGTTCACCCCCCTCCTCTCTCAAGTTTCTTAACTCTGAGGCGTGCACCAGCTTTCCTTTTTTTACTGTATAAAATTGTTTTCCTGGAGGAGCCCTCGAACCTTCCAAGCAATTCCACAGAAGAAAAGATGCTGAAAGATTGGGGACATTGAATGGATGTATTGCAAGATGGCACAGATTTCGTCCAAAGCATGCTGATGGCTTGTGCAGATGGGCCCTTGCTCGGTTTTTTCGCTCAACATGGTCTGCTGCCGATCTAGTTTATATATATATATATATACTGTTTGGGCTGCTGAGGTCAACACCGGGACCCGCACTGAACAGAATGTCAAAGCGGTTTTGACCATCAGTGGCAAACACCAAGAGATGACGCTGCAGTTCGTGGCCTCACGAGATCTAAAGCCTGGCGAGGAATTGATTCTGAGCTACTTCACCGGCTTGGATAACGAGGATGGGCAGAAGAAATAAGAAAATGTGCAAACAGCGTTTCGGAATGTGCAGCCGGGTTTGGTAGGACATCCTCTTCCGGTGGAACATGTACTTGGAAGGAAATGACATCAGCCTCGATGCCGGGGATACAGTCATCACCTTAGCTAGGCAGCATTGCCATGAGTCACGAGCACTGAGTGTCCACCACATGAAGGCAAAAGAGTGGTGGTCCCTAGTAGCTGTCGGATCCCTGTCCTCCACATTTCCCTCGCTTGACGCCCGGCGTGTAAGGCGACTGTTTGTTCAGCTGGCGGCCAGGATGCTTAATCTGAGTGAAACATTGCTCTTGCAAAGTTTGAAAGCTTTTGTAGGCTCAGTGCTGGGTATTCCATGGACTGTGACACATACACACACACACACACTATGCGCTATAATAATATGCTGTATTATATATTTGTACACTATACCGTATCACAAAATATGTATTAAGATGTTATGCATTTCCCCAGGTAGCGTGAACCATTGGGTTCTTACTTCAAGTATAGGAAGAGCTGCATGTGTGCGTTGGTGCCGCTGCTGTTCCAATATAGGAAGAGCTGCGTGTGTGCTTTCTCAAGCTTAGGTGCTCGTGCCGCTGCTGTGCGTGCTTGGGTGCTGGTGCCGGTGCAGGGGCTGGTGCCGCTGTGTGCGCTTGGGAGGTTGGGCGCTCGTGCCACTGCAGGGTGCCGCTGCTTTGTGCGCTTGGGAGCTTGGATGCTGGTGGCCGGTGCCGCTCCAGCCACTTCGTATTTCTTTGGGTTTATATATGCGTTTTCACGAGCTATTTGGGGCCTATGCTGGTGCAATTTGTATATCTTAGATGTTGCTCCCATAGCCTCCCATACTTAGCATCACGGCTTGTCCGGAATGATGTCAGCAAGTCTCGGGTCTCGACAAAGGACCTGCGTTCTGCCAGCCTGGAAATGCTGGATCTCAATGTCGAAAGGCAAGTTCCAAGGCCCTTGACAGCACTCAGATGGGCTGAATTTCGGTGAGCTGCAGCCGACTGGAAAAGATTTGTTGAATAGGCCACTTCTACCGCTACCTAGCAGGTATAATTGAACAATGTGACCAAGCAAGATGGCCTGAGTTGAGTGATGTTGAACGTGAACTTGGGAAAGACACGAGGTGCCGAGATTCTGGAAAGAGGCAAGGGGTGCTGCGCTGTTCTCTCGCTCGCCTGGCATATGAACTATGCGCCCAAGCTTGCGACATGGAAGATGTCAACGCAGTGTTTTAGGTGTTGACTGAAGTGTTGACTTTAGTGTTTTAGGTGTTTTAGCTTGTGATACCTTCGTTTTGGTGATTGCATTGAATGAGGTGTTGGGAGCTGGTTTCCTGAACGCAGCGCGGTGAATCCGGCACCTCAGACCCCAGCTTCGCGCTCCAAAGGTCACGCACCTCAGTCAGAGCAAGCACATGTTCTCTCAAAAGATCAAATCCTAGCACCTGCTGGCCTGTATTATATTTTAGGTTCGAGACCATTGCTATTGGGTTGGAGGGCCATGGCTATCAGGTTGGAGGCGATTGCAACTATTTGTTAGTTTGACCTGTTGGGATTTAAGAGGCTTGCTTTGCCATGTGGCCTTTGTTGTCGTTCCACCCTTTGATCCTGGAAAGGTGATCGAGTTGCAGGCTATTTGATCATGTACTCTATGATTCTCAGGAGCAGAGGTGCCGGTGGAACAGGCTGCTCTTTGCTCCAAATGCTCTGTGTGTAGCTGCCTGGAGGTGATCGTGCCGGTGCCAAAGAAGCTTTGAATGATCTATTCTCCAGGGCCGAGAAGGGCCTAGCTGCCGCATCATTGGTCGATGCCCACCTCCAAATGGCAGAGTGGCTGCTCGAAGAAGAGGAGTTGCAGGACGCCACTAGGGTGGTTGAGTGCTCGTGATGTGTTTCACAAGCTACGCAACTTGCATTCTCAAGTCTGACTTTCGTATTTTTTGCCTGTCAAACTGCCAGAAGTAGGGTTTTGATTTCTGGCCTGCTAGTTGTTCCAAAGAGGAATCGGAGAAGCACATCCTGGCCGCAATGCGCGTTCGAGAGGAAGCCAAAGCTTACTTCAATCACGGCCACAGCCCAAGATCCAGTTCATATCACTGTTGCTCCAAATCAATCAAAATAATATGCAATCATTGTGCTGCTTAAGCAGGGCTTGGTTTGTCTCAAGGTCTCATTTTCTTGGCGCGTGGCGATTCGCTCAATGCCTTGCAAAGCTTTCGGCGAGGGCGTCAGCTGTCCAAAGCTGAGCTGTTCGGTGCGTCGTGCGTCTCGCGTCTCGGCTTCCGAATCGGTGCCCAAGGAGCGAGCCCGGCAGTGCGGTGGAAGCTGAGTGCGCCAGAATGCTTCAGAAATCTTTGGGAGCCTTGGGTCTCACAGGTGGGGCGATCAAACATGGCTCATACAGATTTCAGATGATTTCAGCACATATTTCTAACGCACATAAGCATTGCAGCATTTCAAAAAACAGTTGTCCGTATCCTTTGTTCTTCCAGGACCTAGTGCTACCCGCACTGAGCGTGCACATCCTTTATATTACAATCAGTCCAATGTCCTGAGTACGCTCCTTGTGGGATGATGGTCATGCAAGTTTGACTGATCTTGATGCAAGCTGTCGTCTATGTACATCGCCAACGGGCTGCACCAAGATTAACACTATGACGCCATGACCATTGGTTGGATACGATGGCCGCTGTCAAATCGTTTGACATCTTCGGTCACGAATCCCAGTCTTTGATCTCGATGTGACCAGGTTTCATCTCGATGCAGGAAGGTTCCAAATGGCAGCTTTGGTGGCTGAAGCACCTGCAGATTTCTCAGAGACTGAGTGCAAATGCCAAGATTCGAATACATTTGCTACAAGTTAGCGTGGAACTGGAGTATCGGACCCGATTGGATCTATGAATTTGTCCAACCGACCAGCGAGCCTTTGGAGAAGATGGTCACCTTGCCCATGAAGGATCCTGGCTGGCAACCTGCTTCTAGCCTGCTGGTCGGAGCTCAGCACAAGAGAGAGAGAGAGAGAGATCTCTCGTGACCCACTGCAACTGAATCTAAAGGGCTGGGCTGGGCAGACCCTTTGAGATTGTCCACCGCGCTGTGGTTGCTACACCTCAGTCGGTGCGCAAGCACAAGCAGTGAAAAGGATCGACAAGTCATGTGCATTGATGACGCACATTGTATTGCAGGATTTTTGCTTCGCTGTTTGAAATTGCACATCTGACCCATTCGGATGCACGGTTGAAGTTTTGACTCTTGAAGTGTCGTGCCAGGCGACTCGGTGTCCTTGGCCAAGATGAGGGCAAAGGTTTAATTCTCAGAAGCGCTCGTCACTACGTTCTATAAGGTCTCTTCACATCAAAAGGACCTGAATTTCACCACTTAGTGCTTGTCTTGTTGGATACTAGGAGCAAGGACGCTACTAGGGTCTCCTGGCTTTACTACGAGGAACAAGGATGCTACTAGCAAAGGGCAGCGCTACCGAATTGTTTTCCACCTGGCCGAGCGAATCGCATGTCGCATGGCGCCATTGTGCCGCACAGACTGTCTAAGGCCTCCGGACGCCGCCACTCCCTTCAAGCCGAAGCGACCCTTCGTTTGGAGGAGTCCACCATTTGCCACCGATGTTTGGATGCTGAGCGGACATTTGAGGTGTTCCGGCCAGTTTGTGTTCTGGCCAGTCGGTATTTTTCTATTGCCAGGACGCCGGGAATTCCATTTCCTTTGAGCAGTCTATACCTTTGAGAAGACTTACCCCTGCTAAGCTGGAAGCGACTTTGAACCACTTGAGGTTCCTTCAATGGGTGGATGACAATCGCGCGGTGAAGGCTCCTTCCACACCAGATCTCCAGTTCGGTGGAAGATGGTGATGCCGATGTCCTAACGCGTTTGGGTAGCGCTGGCTCAAGCATTTGATTGTGCCGGTATCCAAGCATTTTATGCCAAACAAGGCTGCCTTGAGAGCCCTGCACATGACAGGAACCACAAGCATTCAAAAGCTTCGCCGAAGCACAATGCCCGCCTAAGACCGCAGATGCTGCCATGGTGATTGTAGCTGTGCGACGGCCAAGTGGCGATTTGTTTGAGGTTGACGTGCCGAAAGATGCCACGTTGAACACTTTGAAAGCTGCAATCGCTGCAAAGACCAAAGAGGCAGTGACACGTCAGAAGCTCCTCCTGGGGCACGAGGTGCTCTCAGACGAGATGCTTGGCTTGAGTCAGGGAGGCTTTGTGGTTCAGAGCTGCTACATACTACATGTGCAACTTAACTATTGAACAAACTGAGGGCCTAGTCCTGGATGAAACTGCGCGGGTACTGTATAAGTATATATACCCTTTGTCTGCAAGACCACTTTCCACATGCCCCATTGTGGCCTCGATTTAGGCGCCTACAGGCTGGTCTTGCAGAAGAAGATCGGTTGGAGGCCAGTGGGGACACTGGGTTTGACAAAAACTCGTCTCAAACTGACTTACCTGTAAGAATCGCCAACATTGAACTGGTGATGCCAGCCCTGCTTGACATGTCACGACAATCTGATGCCCGAGAGGTGCTCCATTTGGTGAGTCGATCCTGCACTTTGGTGACGCACCAACATTCTGCAGCAGGGGTATGGGACGGAGATGACCAGACGCTTGTCCGCCCGGTCTTCCAGAAGGATGACCTGGATTTCACACATGCCGTGGATGCCATGTACTTGGAGGATGGAGAGCTGTACACTCTTGTGAGGTGCGGACGGCTGAGCGATGAGATCTATTTCATACAGCTTTGGTGTGGAGTTCCTGGAAGAGCTGTGGGTCGCTTCTCCCTACCTGGACGGTGGCTTAATGAGAGTGTTCGCATCGAATTCTCGCCCGAGGGTGAATTTGTCATCGCCAGCTCGATGGGGACCATTCTGATGTGGCGAACCTTGACGGGCGAAGAGATACAACGAGCTGACTGTGCCCATTGGGGTGGAAGTATCAAGTCCATGGTGTTGCGCCTGGCTGTGCTTTTCCAGGGCGACCCTGAGGGTAGCGGCATTTTTAACAGGCCAGGGGAGGGCCAGCTGGGGTGGAAGGTTTTGTCACAACGTTTTTGCTGGCAGACATTCTCCATTTTTCTGCGGCAGTTCTGAGGTTCAATGTGTTGAAGCAACGGCTGTAACAGCATGTCCTCGACACGGCTCACGACCAACCGACAGGAAATATCACTTGAATTTATGGGATTATCATGCTGGCCTGCAGAAGCAGTCTTGGGTGTGGCCTGAGCCTTTGGACACTCCTCAAGCTTTGCTGTCAGCTTCCGGGGCCCGTGTGGCGATATGGTCATACCAGAAAGAGCTCGCCGTCTATGACTGCCAGAGTGGCCACAGCATTAAAACTTGGTTCGACGAGGCGCTCACTGTTGCGGTCCTCAATTTCTCGCCAAGTGAGGAGGAGATTGTGGTGTCGTACAAGCAAAACCTGAAAGAGGTGAAGATTATTCGGATTGTTGATGGTCAGATGCGGTCTGCTTTGCTACCAGAATGGTCTTCTTGCAGGTTCCTTTCTTCTGTAGGGTATTCAGCAGATGGCACAACGCTCGCGTTGGCCGAGGCAGGTGGTGTTCTACATCGGTGGAATGGGGCCACCTTGGACATCTTGGATTTGCTGCCGGCGACCCCGCTGCCTGCTGGAGACATCATGGAGTCGCAGATTTGTCGTGACCAGAATTTTTTTCACTCGCACCAATAGGGAAGGCCGTGTTGAGCTCCTGAACTTGTGTAACGGCGCCTATCTTGTGCTGTAGAGTTGGTCGGCCCCCCGCTCAGCGAACAAACATGGAAAAGAGCGAAAGGAATGAGTTGGTTTACCGGAGTGAATTGCAGCTTTGGCCTTTGGACGAGCATGACAGGTCAATGAGCAGCGCCGATGTGCAGGGCAGGGGTCCTCAGCCACTCTTAGGGTTGAGATGGTGTGCTTATATATATATATTATATATATATACACATATACATGCACATGCACATAGATATGGGCCTGGGTGCAGGAGAACTGTAAAATCAAGATGGAAAGGTTCTTCGGTATCAGACAGGCAGATCTCACTCAGATATCTTGGTTTGTCATTGTCCGTTGTCATTTCAAGTTGCTGCAGGTTCACAAGCACAGAGCTTGATTCCTTCCGGATGAAATTCTCGGCCGCGTGCTCGGCATTTGGTCATTGGTGGGGTGGGAGGCACAACAGTTACTGTAACAGTTCACAGCAGCTGAGGAGTTTGACCCCCAAGCAACCGGCGTCCTTGATGTGAAACACATAGGCCGGGTGCCAGAAAACGTGCCAAGTCAATAACATAGTCATTCTTTGTCAACGAAGCAGGTGAAGTTGTTTGCCATTTGTCACCACAAAAGCCGCTTTTCGTGAAGGACCGCTGTTGGAAATCATTGGTTTGCCAGCATTGGCGACAGCAGAGGTGTGGCCTTTCGGCTGTGATGCTTGTCTTTTGACGACTTGACTTCGATTCTCCTGAGCAGGAGCGCAATTTATTGTTGTCCGACTTGGAGAAGGCACGAGACACAGCCACGGGCTCGGTTGTCACCTTAGCCACAAGCCGTTGCTGGCATCATTTTGTTGCATAAGGCCAGCAACCTGGGTGTGCAGGATGCCGGAGACAAAGGCGAAGGCTCAATGCACTCGACGCTACGGCCAAAAGTGTGGATGGATAAAGATGGCGACAGTGCATGACGGTGCAAGGCTTCAATTTCTGGGTTCTGGTGCAGCTTCTCCGCATCCAGCAAAGAGCTGAGTGAGTTCTGAATCAAGACTTTGATCCCCGGGTTTGGCCGAGCCCCGCAACTTTCGATTTTTGTTTCCCTTGAATCATCAAACGAAGGTTTAGCCGCAACGACGGCAAGGTGGGGGATTGATTGACCTGAGACAAGTCCAGCAGAGTGATCCAAGCATTGATTGCCTGATCATCAGATCATCGCATTTGGAGGTCCTCGGCCGAGAGGCTCAGGCGGTCAATGAGACCTTGCCCTGGTCTGAGTTTCCTTGTAGCTGTGTTACTAGAACTGCACTTGTTACTAGGAGCTTCTAGCTACTAGTAGTAAGGCACCGTGCTACTAGTAGCTTCTTGTTCCCATTTCCCATGCTTTCGTGGCTTTCGTTATTTGACTCGGTGTTCAGAGAATCTGCTGGTTCTCATCAGGTTTTCGCAGGGTGAAGTTGACAGCTTTCGGGAAAGCTTTGTATCATGGTTCGAGCGGCAGGTCGGGCTGGTCATACTCAAAATGCTGCGCGTAACTCGCACAATGACTTGTGATAATGTAGCAGGCACGCCGAGGATCCATGGGTTCCTCCGAAGAGCAGGAGAAGAATGCTGTGTGCGTGTGTGTGATGTTGTGTGTGCACATGGGCGTCATCATGAGAAGCACGACTTGCAAGGATGTGTCGTGCGGGTCTTGCCAGGAGAGAAGTGATTCGAGGATCAAAGAGCTCAACAAGGCACAGCAAAGGGCACTCAAGGCTTGCATGCTTCCAAGCATTGATGCCACTGGAAGGGCACCGTCTTCAGTTTGATCCGCTCGCTGGGCGTCAAGATTGATGAAGACCAAAGGAAAAGGCCAGGCCAAGATAGTGACCAAGGATGACCAAGGTATGTGCCAGTCATGCCAGTTTGATCCGTTTCGATTGGTGCCCTGTGAAGGCTAGAGCGCAAGATTGAGGAGTCAGCTTCTGAGATCAGATCGCCCCTCTGAGTCAGCTGCCGATCGCTGCCATCCCGAATCAGGCTCAATCCCAATTTGAGCTTGGACTTCCCGGACTTCCTTCGGCCCCTTGGAACAGCCACCGCTTTGGGGCACTGATATGCACTGATCATTTGATGGGACTCTCATCAGTGGTTGATGGCTGACGCTTTCATATGAGCTGTGGAAGAGTGACCGAATCTGTTTGTACTCTTAAAGGTGGATTGAGAGAACCAGACCATTTTTAACAAGGGCCGTATCATCGGGGACTTGCAAACTGGCAGTTGAATCACCTGGCCGATGCCAGTTGGGTCCCTGTTACATTCTCATTGTCGTACAGTATCTCTTCCCGAGGCTGATGCGCTGGATGGTCACTGTTGACTTCGGTGGGGTGAATAGAACCAAGGCTTAGCTGCCGCAGCTTGCATAGCTTGCTTTTGCAGCGCCATATTTCCGCCCCAAGGGTTGGATTGAAATTGGTCCATGCATGAATCGAAAAACACCCATGCCGCAGAACTGCGGTTTTAATTGCAAGTGGCCGATCCGGCCTGTCGTAGCCTGCCACTAGCAAAGCTACTGGGCAGAACTCAGATGATACTAGAAACAAATGCCTCTTCGGGGCACTGAGAATAGTGGAAATTTTTGAGGGACAGGGACAGGGACATGATATGATGTATAGAACTTATTGGACATTTTGATGGGGTGGTCCGGATATGACTTTCGATACCTGATGTGGCACTTCGCGCAGCTGATTGACCTTTTTTTACAGCAAATGGAGGTTGCACATGCGTCCAGAGCATGACCAGCTGACCAACGGACTAGACCAACAGCATCATTTTGTGTTGTTGGAATTTATCACATGCTACTGGAGCAAGAATGCTCAAAAACACAAGTGAATGGTCCTTGCTGTTCCTTTGCAAGGCATAAAGCGTGATCCCCCAGACAGCAGACAGACAGTTCCAACTTTGGTCATGACCCAGCACAAGACAGCCTTTGTGAGCCAGGCTGGGTGGGTGGACCAGAGGCTTCACGTCCAAAAGGGATGAAACATCGGAGAAAACAACAGGGTTTCCTTTTGTTGCGGTTATAAACAGCCGTTTTCATGGTGCGCTTTTGACGAACTCCAGGTTCCTTTCTTTGTTTGTCCTGGTTTCTCCTCTTCATGTTCGCTTCATTTTTAAGGGTTGATTTCTTCCCGTCAGCATCGTTGTTTCTTTTTGCCGAAGGCATCCTCTTCAGCGCTGGGATCGTTCGCAGCGTCGGGTCAACCCAGACCTTGCACGGACCTTCGAAAGCCACAGATAATGAAGCCACTGAGTGAACAACATCCACTAAGCCAAGGATTAGAAGGAAGAAGATCCAGAAGCAAACAGAATTGATCAGATGATTAGTGTCTCTACATGAGAGCCTTATGAGCATGGATAAGTTTTTAGGGATGCGGAAGGAACGGTACTCTTACTTGATGCTGCTGCCGTGACATGTTAAGCAAGAGGAAGCAACATGTCTTGATAGGGAGAGGTTTTGACCCCCTGCTCCTTGACACTCGCGGCTATTCAGCCTTTTAAGCGATAGTGGGTCAGAGGAGCTGCAATATCTTTCAGAAGGCCCTGTAGCCCTGTAGCTCTGTAGCTGTCCTCACGGTGTAACATAGGAAGGATGATTGCAAGAAAGGCCAGAAGCAAAAAGACTGCAAAGCGACAACTCCTAACTCCCTCATGGCCCTCACATGTGATGCGATAATACTCCTCTTCTAGACTTCTTCATCATTGCGTATCAAGAAACTGTCACAAAGACCGAACGACCCTCAGCACAACCGCTTGCACAAGCTCCGGGAGGAACAAGCGTACATGCAGAACATTCAAGACCTGCCACATTTGCTTCTAGTGAGAGCATGTTGTTGCTATGCCTGTTTGCCGTTGTCATATGGCCGTGATAGGAGACACCCCACAAAAGATTATTGTACTCACACCGGACCAAATACTGCGGAGGCTTTGCTGGCCATTGGACAAAATGATAGGGACGCTCCACTTTGCGATGAACACACTGCAGACAGGAAGTTTGGACTATGGCTACATGCACCACATGCAAATCCAGCGCTCATGAAGAAATCGGGCTGCATTGCCTAATGAAGGCATTTGCAATGCAAACCTTCCAAGGATTGCAGCAGCCCCCTCCCATTCCTGCAAAATACTGTACATGTTCCATTGTCTTCACCAATTGCCTGGTGATTGGGTTGGCCTTCCATGCTCTTCTAGCCGCTCTCACCTTGAGGTTCTGCAGCTATGTAGGGGTGTGCCACTTTGTGCGGGGCCTTGGCAGAGAGAGAGAGAGGCGGTTTGCACTGGGGGAACCCGAGAATTGTGTTGACTTGAATTGCTTTGTGCTCAATGAGCTCATGCATTATAGATAGGTGTCCGACTGTGAATGCCATTGAATGCCTGCAGGTCTGTAGGTGTAGGTCCGCGGTAGGTGTGGTTGCACGAGCTGAGAAAATCTGCTTTTCGTCTCTTCACCACCGTGCGCATGGTCGGCTCCACAGGCTCCGCAGGCTCCGCAGCTGGCTCATGCCCGGCCAAAGAGCCGAGCTCATGTGACCCTCCATCCCTTTCATAACCTTTGACTTCACTGTAAAAGCACAGTGGAGATTGCAGTATGTACTGTATAAAATCAAGATAGGTATGATATAGATGTGACAAGGATAGATCTCATTGGCCGGTCGTGTGCCTTGGCCAGTCTCAAGGAGATGGTTAAGGCAATTAGAGACAGATGAAGCATACTCATGCATGGTTTATTGCTTGCCTTATTGTTAATGAATCCGACGGGTGGCTATGGCGCAGACTCCCAAGGCAGATCTTGTCGTGGTTGTTATACGACCGTTGTATCATGTTGTATCCACTCGACTTTTGATTGCCGTTGCGCAGACGTTCTGACCCCAGACATGTGCCCAGAGAGCCTTCCGAAGCCAATCCGCTATATATATAACGATTTTTGCTCTGATTTGCCCTCAGATGCTGTCGCAGCCTTGCAAGCAGCGGTGGAACGCCTTGGGCGAGCTCATGACTTTCGAGCACTTGCAGAAGGGCGTCAGGAGAAGGGGGAGCAAATTCCTGCCATAAAAGACCCAGAAGCTTGAGACAAAACGAAGCTGGCCTCGCGCATCAATGGGGGGATGTTGCACTGTGAGGAGTGTGTCAGGCTGGCGGAGGAGCTCAAGCATTCTCAGTCGACCCAGCAGACAGAGTCTACAGGCAAAGGTGTGAAAGAGAAGCTGCTGTCTATCAACAAGGCGCTCACTGGAATCTAGCCCTGTACCGTACCCTCGGTCAAGTTCTCTGGGCGTTTCTTGCTTTGGACAGTTACGAAAGCCAGCCGGCAGGCTGGTCTGAAGTTCGACATTTGCGAACCAAGTGAGTTCCAAATTGGTGAACTACATGGGTTGAACGGTGGCACTAATTGTGTGTTTTGGGGATGCTTGATGATGCTGGTGATGCAAGCCATTGGTGATCGAGCGATAGTGTCACACCTGTCGGATGGGCAAATCGATGGATGGGTGGAGGGATGGATGCAGAGAGGGGTAAAAGATGGATGACCGTTGGCACTTGGTGGAGCTATATGATCATGATGCCGGCATGCTCGGTGCGTTTGCATACCAAGTATTCTTTTTCGATCTTTTTCGATTATTTTCGAAGGAGTAAATGAGGGTCTTTTCGGGAGCATTTCTGGAGTCTCTATGCCCAAAGTTTCCCTTCGGCGTTGGCATGCTCCTTATTCCTTTTCGAGCTTCGGGAGCGTTACGGGCTGAATTTTCGGCGTGTGAGCGCTGGCCTTCATACTGACCTCAGGTTTGACTCTCGTCGCTTGTGGGCCGTGCCAAATCCCTGAAGGTGCTTCATGACGAGCTGCGAAAAGAGCGCTTGCGCGGCGATTCGTTTGAGAAGTGCGCCCGCTGGCGCCTTTGCTTTCATCCTGACAAGGCGGGAGTGGGAGTTGTGACATGCTCACACAAACAACCCGCCGATTTCGACACTCAATGGTGTTGCGCATCAAATGCCCACTTGAGGTGGCCTTTACCAGAGCGTTTGAAGACCTCTTGGAGCAAAGCATTGCTACCGCTTGCGGCATCCAGCGCCAGCGAGTGGTGGTCCTCCACAGTTGTAAGGACACCGCGGAGGTAGACTTTACTATCCAAGCGGGTGAGACATCAGCACATGCATTGGTGGAAGTGCTGCAAAGTCAGCTGGCGGATGAGCGTCCTGAGCTGCGGACTGGAGCTTTTGCCAAGTTTGCCTGCTCGATATGCCGTTTGAGCATAATTTTGCCATCCCCCACCTGCTTGTGGACAGACGAATCGAACAATCGAGATGCAGCTTGCATTAGTTTGGACCTGCTACAAGACTTCGAGCTTCAACAGGCTGCATATGGACCCTCCGAGCAGCCTGCATCAGAGATTGAGGTTTCTGATGACGAAGCAGATGTTCGAAAGCGTCCGGAGTATTGGGGTGTGAGAGTTCGAGAGCTGGCGCAATTTCACAGCAGTATTCGGGAGGAGCCAGGGATCCAAAACTGAGCTTAATGAATGGGCATTGACAAGACTTGGACGGCTGTAGGGCGGGCTGTAAGCTTCGCAAAGCGTTTGTGTGCCCACACTCTACACCAGTGCCCGCAAGTTGTTGTTGTGACATTCATGCATGAAACATCATGAAACTGTTGCAGAACCCGCTGAAGCGGCTGAAACTGCTTCTTTGGCTAGGAGCTGTTGGCATACTGCTCAGTGCACGAGATGTGCTTTGAGCCCACTGGTTGTGTCCACCTGTGCAAGAAGAGCTGCACTTGGGATCACAGTGGCATTCAGCACAGGCTCAAGGAGGACAAGTCAGGTACCCAACTCCTTCCAAACATGCATGCTGCCTTGGCCTCAGCTGAGCCGTACTGAGCTACAGAGAAAAGAAAGGGATAGGACACTACACTGACTACACTCGTCCTGAGGTGGTGGCCAAATACATCAAACCGCAAACCAAAGAGTTGGGCAAGTCGTGGGCTTTGATGAGGCAACTTGCCCGCACAATTTGAAACTTGGCACATCATGTACAATTCATCTGGACGGCATCCAAGACCACTGTGCATTTGAGGCACCCAGATGGATGCCTGGTTTGCATCTACAAAAAGGCTTTGCATATCATTCGCCAAACAAATGCGCAATATGCTACAAGTACATCATACATCAACTATACTACACTAAGTCACTAAGATGCGATATCAATAGGATGCAAGACTATTACGGTGTTCATGTTTCCTTGCAGTTCGACTGACTGTCAGCCCGTCCTCCAAGGACTACGAATCACGCATTTTATCACGCACACCTGGGAGGACTGGAGCTGGGAAGCGGTATGAACATGTATGAAGATGTGCTTCAATCAGTGGTTCTTGCTGATTTCTGTTCTCAGAACTTGCTCAGAACTCTTGGGAAGATGTCATGCAAGGAGCTCTTTGCAGATTTTGTGGCCAGTTTGGAGAGTGCGCTGGATCCCGATGATGCACTGAACTGAGCTACACAGAGAGAACCATGCCTTCACTCAACATGACTTGAGGTAGTATGGGTTTGCAGTTTGGCCTTGGATCAGAATCTTGGCATCGCTTGAGCTGGGATCCATTCATCTCGTTGTGCACATCTTTTTAGAAGAATATTCCAAGGAATGCTGACATTGGGAAACTTCTCAATGTTGAGCTGTCGAAGTCTCCTTTTGCCTTGGCCCTGAAGCGTGCGTCAAAGCAGCTAGTTGTTTTGGACCGGAGACTTGTCTGCACGTCTCTGGTGACTCACCGGTGACCTTCATCCACGTGAGGCCCTGGTTTGAACTCTTTTCTGTGGGCTAAGGGCCTTAAAAGTTCCACGGCGGTCATGGTGTGCCTACGAGTTGCTTGCTTGAACATCAGCATAGTATGCCGGGGTTGGCAAGATGTTTTCAGCGTTCTTTCCGATTGCCTGGCTGGGCAGGCTAGCTTTGGCCACTCGTTTCTCGATGCCTGCCTTCCTGTGGCCTCACCCAAATTCGGATATTGAAAAGCTGAAAGCAGAAATCAGATCATTGGACTTGCGCAGCGCGGCTGCCAGCAACCCAGATGATCAGGAGTACTTGATGTCCTGGACAAAAATGAGATCTTTCTTTTTTACAATGTGGCTGTGAGGTGTTTGACAGTTTGCAGGAGAAAATCTGCCGCGACATTGAAGAACATGAAGGCTTTGACAAGCTGAATGGGCGGTATCGATCATTGTTGCAGCTGACCCTCAACTTCTACTCCTCGGCCATGAGCCAGGCCCATTGGGCTGGACTTGTTGGACTTGTCGATGTGGGATCTGACTCAGTTCGTGCCTGCACCCGAAAGGTTGGTGCCTTGTCCCGACAGATCCAGGAGGCTGTCAGTGCAAAGGATGCGGACAGAGAGGACGGGGGATTTAATGCTTTGGATGCAATTCAGTGAGTAGGTATGAGTAGGTTAATTAGATAGGTCAGTGGCTTTTGTGCATGGGTTTTTGCTGCTGTTTAAAGTTTAAAGGCTTGGGCTTTGATGCCAACCGATGATGGAACTACTAGGGCAACGTATGCAAATTATATAAATGGCTTTTGCAAGATAGGTTGTGGCGATGCCAAGCAGTGGCTCAAGCAATAGGAGTGACCAGTGACTCAAGCAATTTGCGGCCACATCATTGAGTCATGGCATCCTTTGAGTGGCCCAATCCGACACTGCCAAAGCCAAGCTCCAGGGTGGTTGAGACGCCAAAGGATTGGAAGGACGAGGCCTTGTTGGTGCCCCACGAGGCCATCCGCTGGTGGAAAAGCCGATTGCTCCAGATCATGGAGGAGTTCGATCCGGTGTCCAAGCCGACGAGTTCCTGGAAGACCAAGGTCCTTTTCGACTTCACCAGCTTTCGCGCCTGACAGAGTTCAAAAGCGCAGTCAAGGAGATGATGGCCTTTATGGAAGAACACCTCGCTGAAGAGGAGCGGGACTGCCCGAAGATCTTCGACTCCTGCAGCCTCTCGGAGGAAGAAGAAGAAGAAGCTCTAGTCAACAAGATCTTGGAGAACTTGGGATTGGATGGCAACAAGCGTTATTTGCCTCCAATTATGTATTGCATGGCCAAGTGGAAGGGCAAGGAAGGGATGCTGAAATGGTATGAGTCGCATGTCCCTCCTCCAATCAAAATGCTGAACAACAACTGCTGGGTGAATGACTTTCAGGAGAAGCAGCTGAAAGTCCTTGAAGCCTTGAAGCAAGATGAGCACATTGCACCGCAAGACCAACCGTGCAACCTATGCAGTGTGATGTGAGGGAGCACCCTGTTGCATTTTTTGAAAGGAAACTGTCCTTTTCGTTTTACTTGATCTTGGCGAATTGGCCAAGACAAACGAGTGTGACTGTGTGGACCTAGTTTGAGGTCTGTTGCGTGCAAAAAAGGTGGAAGCAGACAAGACCAATGCAGCATCTTGGAAGTGCTGTGCCAATTCGTTTGCTGTTTGCAGACGGGGCATAGATCACCTTCATCCATCCTACGTCCCACTACCGTCCCACTACCGTCCGATACTGCTAGTAAATGGCCATGAACAGCCACAGCTCCAAGCCTTCCACATCGAGGCACAGCTGTTGCAGCTACGGCGGCTAGAGCTTCGCCGCTTGGAGGCCCAGCACAGCAACGAGCAGCGGTGTGCACTGCTGCAAGCGCGCTGCCGAAGCTTGGAGAAGGACCTTGTGCACTGCCAAAGAATGGAATTGTTTGTGCAGCACAATGGCATTCAACTAGGTGCGAAGGGGTTGCACATGGATTGCACCCTGTTGCACCAGCTTCTGGGGAGGGTTTTGAACGACAGCGCGAGCAGTAGCAAGCAACTTCCGTGTCTCAAGGGGCAGTGCAGTATGCGATTTTGCTGTGAACATGGCTGGGAGCATGGGTGATGGGGGGTGATTAAATTCAGGATTATATATACGTCTCCCTTTGGGTTCATTGGGCCTCTGGCGCCGAGATGATGCAAAAGCTAGTTTTCCCTGGAAACCGCGACAGATGGCAGTGACAAGAACGTTTTCACTAGGCCTCCCGAGGATGTTAGTCATGTCTAGGAAGTCACCCAAGCTCCGTGCAGGTGTATGAAACCATGACCCGGGCCGCGAGACATCATGGCAATTCCAATTTGTTATATTTTTACATACTCCAGGAGCTGGATGAGATGCGGCGCTTTGTTCGTTCATTGGCCAAGACTGAGGTCGAGAAGGCCAGCCGATCGAGTGGATCATAACATGTGCGCGTCATGATGGCCTCCAACCTAATAGCGATGGCCTCCAAGCCAAACATTTTGCAACTCTTTTGTTTTGGTTCGCAACTCTTGTTTTGGTTCTACATCAAGGACCTACTGAAGGCGGATGTTCAAAGCCAGCCCACATGGCTCGCAGAGGGAGATGAGCTATATATATATATAGCCATCCAAGGTTATAAAACGGTGGACAGCTTCGTGAAACTAAGCTCTGTCTCCACGTGCCGAGTCAAGCTCAGCGCTAAAGCAACCGACAAAGAGGCACCATGATGAGGCACCCAATGTGATATCCTCAGAGTTTCAGAGTTCACCACAAGAGCCCTCACAAAAGGCGCCACCCACCAAACTGCAAGCGGTGCAGGGAGGTATTGCTGTAAATCAGGCCCAATTCCTGCGCGGCTGTGCCAGGCTGTGCCTAAGCACCGTCACGGGGGGGGATATATCCATTCACTTCATCTCACTTCCATCACCCATGCAGGCATGTTCCTTCAACTGCCGGCCAGCGGGGTGATTGTTCGGGATGATTGATTGTTTAGGTTTTCGCACTGTGCCCCAGGGCAAAGTAAAAAAAAAGGTGAACATGTGCATTGAGCCTTCCTGTGCCTGAGAGGACCATTGTGAAGCCTTCGACGAGCCACCAGTTGTGAAGACTCTTGGCTGCAACTTCCCTACACCGACCATGGCCAGGTGCACTTCACCTTTATGACGAGGCCTTCCAGCAAGAACAGGACTAGATAGATCGCTAACTTTTTTATTGATGCAACGTCCTCCCTTGGGCTGAGTTCAGCTGAGGGCATCCAGCTGCTGTGGGCCTGCACGATGGAGGCGGCGCAGCTTTGATTCTTAAATGAGACGAGCTGGCGCCCACTGTACATAAGACGCTTCGAACGTCAGAAAATTGCGAAGAGAGGACTTTGTGGCATGACTGCGCCTTCGCGGCCCTACAGCATGCCAATGTAAGTGTACTCACCAGTCGCTGAGGCTGATAGGTTCATGGCACCATCGCAAGCCAATGCACTGTGCCTCGCTGCGGCGGCCACGGCCCCAGAACTGATTTTCAGACATGTTCAGACCAGGTGTTTTCAGGTGAGTTGGGTGCGTTGTTGGCGGAATCAAGTGCAGGTGGATAGTTGCGTGTTGAGTTCGTGAGGCTTCGGCAAACTTTATGGTGCAACGTCACTCCTTTGCTCCTGGAGCCAACCTCAGCAGCTCTTTGGTGAAGCGCTACCTCGTGGCAGAGGCTCGCTATCGCATCTCAAACAACTTGGTTGACTTCCACGTAATTGTTTGTCCTACCATCTCTCATGCTCTTCCAGTTGGAGCCTTTGGGAGCTCTTGTATGATTCAGTCAACAACATCTCAACGCTGGATCAACAAATGGCCCCTGAGGTCTAAAGGTCAAATAGTATTAATATGGACAACAGGTCCGCAGGATGAGGGGTTGATGAGGCTATAGCAAAGGCAAACAATTAGAGGAGCAGATGGACCAACCTAACAATATAAGTAAGTGGAAGGTTTTGTGATGGACTTGTGCAACATGGACAGGGAGGTTACAGGCGGTTAGTAGCGGGGGGGCTGGACCAAATGCATTGGACCAAACTCATAGAGGAGGGTACTGTATGTAATCCAGTGTTGACAGTGCCCAAGTGAAGTCACTGCAAGTGGATCCGCCGCTCCAATCTTGGCCGCGGCTTGCAAGCTTACATTTGGTTCAGTATCTGGTGCGGGCGCGAGCTAGCGATGGCTTCGGCGCCGGTTGAAAAATCTCCAGATGCATTCCAAGATGAAGACAAGCCAGGTGCGTGGTGCTCTTGCCACAGCCTTGTCTAGCTGAGGTTATTTTATATATTTTCCATGAATGTTAGGGTTTTCTTCATGCACTTCATGCACGCCCCATACCGTCGGGCAGGGCTCACTAGCTCGCTAGCCAAAACAGAGGCAAAAGGAAGCCCACCGGCAGCACTGATAGCAACCAGTAGTAGCGATGATGTGCTCTATTTTGTGGAACATGATCCAACTGGGTCCTTGCAGCCTGGAGGTCTTTGCCGAAAGTGTGCTGAATCCAGTCTGGACTGCTTTGCCTTCCTCGGTCGCAGCACTGTTGCAACCGGTCGAAGTGCATACGAGGTGACGCGGCAGTGTGCGCAGCTGGGCGTGCAAATATGTAAGAGGGTCTTAGGTCCTGGGAACTTCATCAACCCGTGGGTGCAAAGGTCATACAGGTGTAGGTTCAAGGTTCAACATCTACCAACTTCCGTTTCATGGCTGCAGAGTTCACAGGATTCAAAGGATGCAGAGCCCTTGTCGGGTTTGTACACCGCCCACATGTGGACAGGACGTTCTTTACTATTTTTTTTGTAAGGGCGTTATGCAATATCCTTCCATAATTTGGATACCTAGACTTTTCAGTAGCCTAACATTTTTATGTTGCTCCAGGGGGTTTGGGTCAAGTCACGATGTCACTTTTTGGGGAGGTGTCAGCACGTTTACTGTAATTGTTTTTTCGCCCAGGTATCCCGTCAAGGAATCCTTGCTTTCTACTGCTGATGGTGCGAGCAACTACTTGCACCCCTGGCAACAAAAGCTTCCAACCGACTCCCACTTGCCAACCTTCAGGATGTGAAGGTTTCGGAGGGTATTCAAGCTTTGGAGATTCAGAAACATCAAGTGGCCAAACCTGCTTCGGCCAATGCTGCCTAGGCCTGGCCATTGCTTTTAGCTGGTTTTAGCTTGGCCACATTGTTACACGAGCTCAGTGGCAAACCCATATGAATTTGAATACATTTCATCTCTGGGACATGCGGCCCTTGCCAATCAAGACATCGTTTGCATATCCCAGACTTTGAATTCAACAGTGCTTTGCCAAAAAGGCAGCTCGAGGCTTGAACCGCCACCAAGCAGTTTCAGCCAAAAAAGACCTGCCAAATGATGAAGTGACAAGTGTCGTCCTTACAGTGGAGTTCGGTCACTGCGCAGCAGTCTTCTTTGAAAGGCGCTCATAGTAATCATCCACCAGACCTTTTTCCTTTGCTTCCTGGAGACCAGGCCAGCTCCTTCAGATTCGCTTCAAAAAGCAGAACCCGTTGGTTCTTCACGGTGCTGCAAAGCTATCTAGTTTGAGCTGTGCAATACTCAGGCCATACCTTGTACCCCAGCTGGGAGGGATTTCTCAAGACAGTGAATGGCTCCTTGGTGGACTACGAATGGCCAGCCAGGTCATGGCCCCAAAAGCTGATGACCAGGTATGCAGGATGACAGGTGTGGTCTGCAGATGGCAAAGCGCAAGTTTACCTAGCCTTTTCCTGGCCTTCACGGCCTACCCCCAGGCCATTTCACCATCAACAACACGTATTGCTGTGATATAGTGTATATATATATAATATATGTTATATTTATATAGGTAGATCATTGCATGACCTCCTCGTCACCGGACGGGTGCCTCACCCACGAGGTGTCAGTCTTCTTCTTGGTGTCGTTCCCACTGCGGAAGCATCGCTGGCTTGACTTACGCTGTTTTTGGCTCTGCTTTGTTTTTGTGACCGTGACACTGGTCGTTGTGTAACAACCACCTTAACAAGACAAATACAAACAGTTCACGACCTCACGTGCACAAATCACTCACGGTTCTGCCAGATACTGGGTTTTTGCCTCCTATGAGCTGCCCCTCTATTCACCCAGGCATCGAACTTCATATCCTCGTCCTTTTTTTAACAGATCCGCCCTTCCAGGATCGGCCAGACGTCGAAAGTGCAGAAGGTGAGGTAGCTGGACCAGGTAGATTGGCTTGGTGGCACCGTTCTTCATAGGTCGTAGATTCAGCTTTCCTCTCAGGTGGTTGAAATATGACTCCATGGCAATGATGGGAATGGGAGCAGAACTCATGAGGTTTGTTGGCCCAATTTTTCCGATCACTGACAGATTGAGGATTAGGTTGTCCATATCATTCCCGGGGTCAAGCAACCGCTTCGTAGCGGTGTAGCTGGAAGAACCGTTCCGCAATTATGGGCATGATTTCACTGATGACAAATGGCCCGGTAGCCAGGCTTCACTGTGGCACAGTCGCAGTCACTTCAGTTTCTCAGTGCTAAATGAATTTTGCATAGTTGTTGTGACAGTGACATCTACGCCACAGTGCGCCACATGGCCTTGGAAGTCAAGGGGCTTCAGTTTTCAATTGATCTGATGACACTACTAGAGTCAGGAATCTGGACTTTGCATTGGGTCTGATCAGGGCGGAGACTGCACGATGAGTGTCGAGGAGTGAAAAACCTGAGTTTGGATTCTGTGGCATTCTCCTGTCTTGCTGCTGTAGCCCGGCCAGTTGCTGGCTGCTCCGCATCACTAAGACATGTTGAGACGAATACCCAACAGTGCAGGCAATGCTTGCACTTGCACCATGATTTGCAGCGTTTGTTTGTCTTGTTTTTTTGGTTGTTTGTTCCTTCGCCTGTTGATTTGTTTGAACTTGCTTTGGAACGGGGATATCGCTGTGACTTCTGCAAATCATGGTCGGCGCATAATTCTTCAATGATTTTAATGCCAAATGAATGGACACGAATGGCACATAAGATTCACATGCCAAACGCATGGCCAATTTCGGCGAAGCGAGACTTCGCTCAGAGAAAATGGTCAGTTTTGGAGTTCTAGCCCCTTTGCTTTGATTCTTCATGGTATGCGCGTTTCAGGCTACCGCTCGCTCCGTTTGCATGAGAGCTTGGCTTAGGGCTTAGGATGGCAGCTAGGGCCTAGGATTAACCATGTTTATATAGCACAGAGCACTGTGGCTTAACATAACACAAAGAACTCACCGTTTGTTCAACTTGGACAGTTCAATGCGCCTTCCTAGACTGAAGGACGGATGAAAGACATAGAATTAGCATGCTTCCTGCAACACTTTTTTGAAGCGGGAATGGGCACTGACATAGGAGATGTTCACGCGGCCGCTTCTGGCACCAGCATCCCTACACGTTGTGGGAGTCACTTGTTGAGCTTAGAGAAAGACCCCCAATCCGTTCAGACTGTACTCAGAGATCAGAGAAAATGGTAGATGTCCTTGGGTTCTTGCAAGTTCATGAAATTGACAGAGGTTTGGTCTTTGTGGGCAACTCGCACACCTACCAGCCCAAAGAGCTTGGTGGAGTGCCAGGTGCCTTTGCCCGGCTGGCAGCATCTTGCGGGCACTCCGTGCTACTTGGCTTGAGCTGATCTCCTGGGTCTCCTGGCTAAGTTGAGGGTCCATAAGCTCGGCTGAGGTCTGCGGAAAGCGTTACCCAGGGAGGTGCCAACCTGTCTGATCTCTGGGAAGAGTTCGAGAGCTATATGCAGAGACGTGGTGTCTTGGCGCTTGAAGATATTTGGATCTGTTTGAGACTGCTTCGTTTGTGTGTTCGGTCGGTGGAGGAAGGAGAGCACGAATCACTCGCTCGGGGGCGTTGCGCGTTCGTGCACTAGGCTATCACACCGGTTCCCACCACCTTTCTGGCTTTTGACCTTGTCAGGTTGTGTCTACTTTGAACAGGTGTTTGTTGACAGGCGTCGCGCAACAAGAACTCGCCCGCCCGCCCCAGTGTGGGTGTGGCAGTTGCAGTTGCCATCCTTCTACCCCAAGTGGTGGCCTTTGTCGAGACCTCCCGGTTTCTTGGTGGGGGGGTGGAAGACGTTGGTGTGATTGCTTACTGTAATTCATTTTGCCTTGGAGCCTTCGCATGTCACGTGCGCTGGTGCCCCTTTCGCTGGGGGTTGCATCCAGCGGTTGGTGGCTGCGCCGCTTGCTTTGAAGGAGGCACTGCATTCACTGGTGCGAGAAGGGGTCGCATCAGTTTCGGCCCGTTTCGAAGACTGCGGGCGGGGGTCGAAGAGCTAGATATTTGAGTTTTCTGTGGATGTTCTTTGCTGATTGCGAGGGGGCTGAGTTGCGTTGAGAGATCATTGAGTCATCAGTGATTTGCTTTCCTTCCTGGCTTTGCTGTATTGGGCAAGAATCCACATTCACTACATTGGTTCGGAAGATGGCTTGAGCATTGATTTTGGACATTTCCTGCCACATCTTGCATCACAGAACAGCGTGGAGACCTAACCTGCGTGGCCGTGGTTGGTGCAGCACCTGCAGTGCCTGCAGGGGTGCTGGGGGTTGGGCGGGTAAGGGGGGGATGAGATTCCGCCGTGGCAGGAGTTGCAGACAATGGCCCTTGGCGATCGAGACCAGGATCGCAGATCCAAAAAGGAGAAGGAGAAGGAGAAGAAGGACAAGAAGGAGAACAAGAAGATGAAGAGGAAGAGGAAGAGGAAGAAGAAGAGGAAGAAGAAGGAGAAGAAGGAGAAGAAGGAGAAAGAGAAGAAGGAGAAG